CCGGGCTTCCATGGCGCCGTCGACAGTAACCTTGGGCTTCCTGTTCAGCGCGATCGCCCTACGATGCCATCGGAGAGCTTTCGCCGACTCGGACCCAGCCTCGAAGGGGATGGAGTGGTAGAACCACTTCGACATCCAGTGGCAATCCCACTTGGACATGGTGGCGTTGACCGGCCAAAGATCGGAGCGCTCGGGGCGAACATTGAAGTTCATGCTCCCGAACGCCATCTTCTTCATCCCTACGGGAGTGACCACCGTCTACGAGTTTACGGTGGCATAAAAAATGGCGTCGAAGAGCTCGGCACTCGGTTCGAACCTAGAAGTCCGGCACACCCAGTCGAAGATGGCCATCCGGAAGAGAGCCGATGGACTCAGTTGGGGGAGCTCCACATGAAAAAGGCGAAGGATTTCCGGCAACAACACGTTGCACAGAAACCGAAGGCCCGCCTCGAAGAACACGGTGAAGACCACCGTCCGATTGTCGCCGAGCTTCGGCACCACAGCCTTTCCCGGGGTGAAGGCCTGTTTCTCCGCCAGCACGCCGGAGGTGACCAACTTCGCCACCTCATCCTCGTCAACAAGCGAAGCCCCCAAATAGGCGGTGGTGTCATCATCGATCCTGTCAGGATCAGGGCCCATCACAGAGGCTGGGTTTGCTTTGCAAGGGGCCATGGCAAAAAGTGTGGGTGGTGGCGAAAAGAGGAGCGGCCGAAAGGTCTAGCGAATCAAGAGCGCCGTGAAGTGAGAGGATGAAGAAAAAGAGAGCTCGCGGTCAATGTGACTGGGGTGCGGCGGTGAAAAAAAGGGGGGATATATAACCCACCCAGGCGTCGATTCTCCTTCCCACCCAATCGTAAGCCGCCACGTGTCACAAGGGTAGGCAAAACAGTAAATTCCCGTTGATTGAGCCGCACAGTGCTAACCCACGAAGGGAAGCCCATCACTGTTCATCATGGCCCAGAGCAAAGAATAAGGACGTCTTCACCGTTTGCAAAAGGCGAAAGCTAGAAAAAACTAAACATAAAAATACATATACACAAAGTGTACACATTTCCTGCAGGAGTCCAGTATAGGTTTCGGCAGGAGTGTCGGTCGAAAGGGGGCACCTCATACCATACCACATGGTTTGCACGGTCTCGGCTGAAGCTCCTAACTCACCCTTGCCCATGAGGGGCTTGTTGGCGGTATGTCACGAGACCCTTCGAACAGACTTACTGAAACCATGCAACCAGCGAGGATTCAGGCCCAAGACGCTAAGATCATCTAGGCGAAGCCCCATGGCGAAGACTATAAAGCAGAGATGGCGAAGGCTGAAGGATCACGCTGGTATCTGGCAAGACCAAATGCATCTTGGGCAAAGTGTGTATGCCGAAGGATGGGGGCTTCGCCATAACAAGCCCAACTTTGAAGAGGCCCAAGGGGCCATCCCAGCCATTCAGGCCTATTCACCAATCGGCCCATTAGAGGCCTATGTATCCAAACACTATATAACCAAGCAAACGTCCCTTTCATAAGGGCAGCCATGTAAATTCCCCTGTAAAGCCTAAGCCCTAATGGGGGAACCTATAATAGGATTATACATAGCCCCCTAGGACATGTAAAAGGGGGGATCCCGAAGAAAAATCTTAAAGTAATACATTTAGTGTTCCCAACACTGTTGAATAACCACGTCCTTCAACGTACGTAGTTGTCGCTTCGACAACAGAAGTCTTAGGCAGAGTCCTGGCTTATACCCTAGTTAAGCGTTTGTGAAGATGGAACCGTAGACATGCTAGTCCAGTGTTGTTTTTCTTTTGTTGTCAGGTCTTATGTGCCTATGCAATAATGTAAATATTATCGCGATAATTAATAAAGATGTGTCTTTTGTATCATGTGTGATGTACCTGGCTTTTCCTGGGACGGGGATTAATACACTAGCATTCTGGATAGTTATTTTCCAGGCATGACAACCAACCCCTTTATAAAGGCTATGACCGATTCAATTTAGGGACACCATCTACAACCAACGCAATAGCCAATTGAATCATTCGTTCAATATCACATCTATTCTATGCCTAGTTTCTAGCCTAGTTCGTCCATCTTCATCAGTTTGCAGTGAAAGTCATCCGTCTTCGTCACGAGAGTGCAAGTTCTCTTTGTAGGTTTGTTCTAAAAACCTTCCATTCCACCCACAAGATGGGTGTTTATCCGTATTTGTTTAATCAGCTCCGCTAGTCGGTTTTGACCTTCTAAACCCATATTGACCAGGGGATTTCCTTAAGGTTAAGGTGGTTGGCAACTGCATATCACGGTAAAGATTTAGGTTTATTCCGGATCGTGTTGGCGGCGTGGCAAAAAAGGCCATCAACAGCAGGGCGTCCAGGTTGCCACGCGTGGGCGACAGGGCGAGGCAGCTCATAGCAAGCAGCAACTCCGGCTTGGAGCCGTCCTCCTGCCCGAAAATGAATGACATGCCAAACTCCTATCGGTGGGTGAGGTGCTGGAGAGAGAGAGAAGAGAGGGGAGTTTTGGAGGAAAAAGATATGTAGTCACTTATATGTGCCACACTTACATTGTTTTAATTACTTCGATTATTGGACAGCCATCTGGACGCCACGTGAGCTAAAAAGGCTCTCAAATATTTGAGGGAGTCGAAATGGACGTTTTTCCTATTTTGTTGAGTTGGGGAATGGCAATCCCACTGGCAAAACAAGGCGGAAAAAGTACACCGAAGGTCCCTCAACTTGTCATTGAATTGCATAATCGTCCTTAAACTGCAAAACTGGATACAACATGTCCTCCAACTTATAAAACAAGTGCAAACTAGGTCCCTCGGCAATTTTGACTCCGGTTTTATCCGATGTGGCAGCTGACTCAGCGTGAACCCACGTGGGTTCCACATGTCAGCCCCTTCTTCCCCTTCCCTCTCTTCCTCTCTCCTCTTCTTTTCTCTCCCTTTGCTCCTGGCTAGAGGTGGCCAAACGGGCCGGGCCAAAACGGGCGGCCCGAGGCACGGCGGAACCTGTAGCCGGCATGGCCCGGCACGGCCTGCTACAGTAACGGGCCGTGCCGGCACGGCACGAGTAGCCGTGCCGTGCTTGGGCCGCCGGCCGAGCCCGCGGGCCGGCACGGCACGGCACGGCTACTGTAGTAAGTCCGCATCTCATCCTTCCGCAAGTCCGTATCTCATCCCTCCCAACTGACGGCCCAGCCCGCTAGCCGCCTCCGCAAGTCCGTTGAGCACCCCTCCTAGCTGATGGCCCAGCCCGCCAGCCACCTCCGCAAGTCCGCATCGCATCCCTCCGCGCCATTTCGGTTCCTGGGCCAACCGTGCCCCGTCCACGGCCCATTTTTCATTCACGGGCCCGTACTGACACGGCGGGCCACACGCATGCCGTGCCGGCACGGCCCGGCCATCCACGGGCCGTGCTTGGGCCGGCGGCTCGGCACGTGGGTCGGGACGGCACGGCCCGTTTCATGAGCCGTGCCTAACGGGCCGTGCCGAAACGGGCCGTGCCGGACCCGTGCCCGTGCCGTGCCGGGCCGGGCCGCCCGTTTGGCCACCTCTACTCCTGGCATGGTAGAGGCAGAATCGCCGGTGGAAGCCGAATCGGCGGAGGTCGAGGATGAATCAGCATAGGCAGAATCGATGGAATCGGAATCGACGGAGGCGGAATCGGAAGCCAAATCGCCGTGCCACAGTGAACGCCGCTCTGCCGCCTTCACCTGGCCTGGGAGCCCCGAAGCTCGCCACCGCGCGTCACCACCCAAAACGGGTTCCCCATGGTGAGGCGATGCTCCCAGTGTACTCTTCTTCCCCAAACACCCACCCAAACCTTCTTCCACCGCAAGCTAGAGCCGTCGAACTCCGGCGCAAGCTCCGGCGCTCGACGCCCAGCCGAGCGCGACCTGGCCGTGCCGTCCACGGTCCTGTCCACGCCGTGTCGGGAGGAAGCAAGGAGGCCGTCGATGGCCGAGCGCGACCTCGCCGCCGGGATCCAAGGCCGTTGCTACTGCTTTCCCTGACGACCTCGACTCCCCCTACCAATCAACCTCATCGTCGGCGTCCTCTCAGCCTCATCCCGCCACCGTATCAGCGTTGTCGCCGCCTCTGCCTCCTTGAGCCCATCACCATGGACCTCACACTACCGCCACCCAGCTCCTTCCCTAGCGGTTGCCGGCCGTGCCCATCTCCGCCCTCACCGGCCGTCCCCCGCTCCTTCCCCACCGGCCGCCGCTCGACGCCCAGCCGAGCGCGACCTGGCCGCGCCGCCTACGGTCCTATCCACGCTGCGTCGGGAGGAAGCAAGGAGGCCGTTGATGGTTGAGCACGACCTTGCCGCCGGGATCCAAGGCCGCCGCCAGTGCTTCCTCCGACAACTTCGACTCCCTCTTACCGGTCAACCTCACCGTCGGCGTCCTCTCGGCCTCATCCCGCCACCACATCAGCGTTGTCGCAACCTTTGCCTCCTTGAGCCCATCGTCGTGGACCTCCCACCACCGCCGCCCAGCTCCTCCCTCGGCGGCTGCCGGCCACGCCCATCTCCGCCCTCGCCGGCCGTCCCCCGCTCCTCCCCCACTGGCCGCCAGCCTCGCCCAGCTGCTCTCCGTCACCGTCGCCATGGAAAGGGATGAGAGAGGAAGAGAGGGGAGGGGAAGAAGGGGCTGACGTGTGGGACCCACGTGTGTCCCACGCTGAGTCAGCTGCCACGTCGGACAAAACCGGAGTCAAAACTGTCGAGGGAGCTAGTTTGCACTGGTTTGTAAAACTGTCGAGGGAGCTAGTTTGCACTGGTTTGTAAGTTAGGGGACGTGTTCTATCCGGTTTTACTGTTTAAGGATGATTTTGTAATTCGATGAGAAGTTGAGGGACCTTCGGTGTACTTTTTCCAAACAAGCCACAGTTGCTCTAGAACCTCGCAATCCCAGCCCAACTTTCGAAGGAAGGCCGGGCCCCATCAGGCCGATAGCCTGCTCGAAATGGTGAAGCTCCGGATAATAAAAGGGATAAGCCGGCAAACATCGACTGACCGCCGCACTTCATCCCCCCCTCCCCTCCCTCCCTCCGCCGGAGCGCCGTCTCAAAATGGCCGCCACCTCCTCCACCGCCTCCGCCATGGCGGTGGCCGCCACCTCCCCTACCATTGCCACTGCGCCATTCTCGTCTCTTCCTCTCCGCCTTCGCCTCCGCCCCAAACCCCTCCTCTTCACTTCTCGCCTCCTCCTCCCCGTCCCCAAGTCCTCCTCCTGGGTTGAATCCGTCTCGGAGGAAGGGGAGGAAGAAGGCGTGGAGGAGGATTCCGAGGAATCCGGTGCCGCGGGGGAAGACGATGACGGGGAGGACAACGACGAAAAGCCGCGGCCTGAGCCGGTGGCCGCCTCTGGGTTCGAGTTCGCGTCGCCGCCGGAGGGCTACGTGGAGCCGGCCCCGTTCGACGAGCTGCCCCCGGAGTCGCCCGAGGACGTGGCAGCGGCGTACGAAGCGCTCTACGGGCCGGCCTTTAGCGGCGAGACGGTCATGGGCAACAACGTCTTCGAGGTCAAGGTGGTGGATCCCGTCGACATGGACCGGGAGCAGCGCCCTAGCGACGAGTTCAGCGAGCGGGTCGTGCAGGTCAATCGCGTCACCAAGGTCGTCAAGGGCGGGAGGCAGTTATCCTTCCGTGCGATCGTCGTCGTCGGCGACATGAAGGGCCACGTCGGTGTGGGCGTTGGCAAGGCCAAGGAGGTCACCGAGGCCATCACCAAGGCCGCCATGAACGGCCGTCGCAATCTCGTCACCGTGCCGCTCACCAAGTATTCGACCTTCCCGCATAGGTAGGTGACATCCCTTGCTTTATTCCTAATTTTGCATACGAGGTTATCATGTGGATGCTCTTATACCCATCGACCCACTAGTTTCAACTTAATGTGCAAACAGCCGGCCGACTAGTACTAATTAATACTACAAGAAATGAGTTCCATGGAAACTAAAACATAAGATACTGTAAGGATCGTGATTTGTTAATGATATTGTTTATTAGTTGTTACTACTAGTTTTTGTGGTTTTAGCCAGCACAGCAATTTGTAACCTGATTTGCTATTATGCCCAAATGGTGTATTCTTATTTTCTGTTTTACACAGAGGCACTGATAATTTGCACAACAGTTCATGGTTGATAGTGAAATTGGTAGTATGCATCTTCCCTCGTGCAGGCATTGCACTCCTATGAACAAATATTTTGTAGAAGATATCAAAATCGAAAGTACAAAAGATTCAGACTTAATCTTGTGCCACACTGTCACCTACTCCCTCCATCCAAAAAAAATTCAACCTAGGTGTGGATGTGACCCCTCCAGATTCGTTGTACTAGGAGGGGTCACATCCAATTCTAGGTTGAGTACTTGAGTTTTTTTGGGACGGAGTACTTATCTGCATTTTCATGGATATATGTATTTTGAATGCTCCTCCTGTTTGCATGAGCTAATGTGCAATTATATTTTTCATCAAAATGTACCTGGATTATCATAAATTGTGGTGTCGTGGTAGATACCTGACATTGATGGAGTGATTCTTGACAAAGGCATTTGTAGCTCGTAGTAAGTGTGATCGAGAACACATTTTCAACTGCAAGGGTTGTTTTATTTAAATTATGTTAATTGTACTAAAATTCAATTCGGACTTTAAAGAATAAAGTGTTGTTAAAACTCAGGTGCATACTAGCGACTCTGGTTTTTGAACATTGATACGATTGAATTTTTAGCGAAGTGCTACAATTGAATCTGGACTGATGTGTTCTATTCTCATGCTGATTGTATGGTTACGTAGTTGTCTGAAAGCTAGTTGATAATCATAAAACACCACTCTTTAGTCTAGGATTTGCCTCTATCTGAAAGCTAATTGATAAAGTGCTACTCTTTAATTGGTCTAAAATGTACCATTTTGGACTAAATTCATTTGACCTTTCATCCTTTTCTTTATTGACCTGAGCTCAACTTGTTCTTCCTGTTTTTACTTCTTCCTCGCCTCTTCCTATGCCCAGTAAAAGCTGTAAAGTCTGAGTTAACAGAGGCATAATTCCCAACTAAATAACCAAGACTTCAGGTATGCTTTTACAATCATTATGGAAGGCAAGCAGTGACAAACCGGAGAGCACAGGATCTATTTTTACTAGCTACTCCCTCCGTCCCAAAATATGGCAACTTATAGGGTTCAAATTTTGTCCCAAAATATAGCAACTTCTAGCTTCTAAAGTGCAGCTTTCATTATGTAGTACCCAAAAATACCGATGTACCCACCACTGCCTCTGCCTCGTTTTCTTACCAAAGCCCAGGACATATTAATGGAGGGTTAATATGGAGGCTATACTCTTTTTATCCCTCTCCTTAATACCTGTGCCCAACTCTGAAAGTCATTATATTTGGATGGAGGGAATATTTCTTTTGCTGAAGAAGACAGGAACATCTCTGAGAGAGTGTTTAAGTCTAGGGACATACTAGAGCTGGATAACTGAGTATATGGAACCAGTAAACCCACGAGTGGTGTTTTGCATCAGGAAGGCATGGACCTTGGGAACAAGGATCAGTGGCAAATCCAGGGGGCAAAAGGAGGTCTGGCCTCTCCCAGCATGTTGCTTCCCCAGCCTGGCCTGGCGAAACCATTAGATCTCTAAAGCTCTAATGCAACCCGCGGGATATTTACCAATTATTTTCGTAATCATTGTCACTCGGCAAGTCGACCCCCCTCATATCTAAATCCTGGCTTCTCCACTGACAGGGATGCCAAGCTCCTTGTCAGTGGCAGTGCAGAGTGGATTGGATTTGAGGAGAGCATGCAGAGGGGATTAGATTGTGCATGGAGGTGAATATGGAAATGAAAATTCGAAGTTTGACACAGCCTTGAGGTCTCTTCTTCCTCTCTCCTACCATTTGTATTTGGTATGACTGTTTTGCAGAAGGAAGAATAGAAAAATAGGAAATGCAAGTGATATTCAGGTTAAGAAGTTGAAAGAATGGAAAGGGAAATTCAATTTAGTCCAATGTGGCACTTCTTAGACCAAACCAATCAAGGAGTTGCATTTTTTCAATTAGCTTTTGGGATTGGCAAATCCTAGAGTCCCCATCTAAAGCATATGATCAGTTATCCCAGTTCTATTATGGTGTTTTGTTTTGTGCTATGAGATGTCTAATTTTGTTACTGACATTAGGCAGATGACAAACCGCTGATGTGGCCTGTACTTTTTGGATATGGCAAGACCTTTTTAAAAATATCAGAACTTTAGTTTTGTATGTTGTATCCTTTTGTTTGGAAAATAACTCTTCCCAATCTATTTCTTCCTGCATTTGGCTAATAAACATGTGATGCTTAAAAGCTTGGCCGTACATTTAATTGTTCTGATCTTTGAAGATTAATAAAAAAAATTCTTTGGCGGAGCAATTTTATAGGTGTTCTTCCTGTGATGGTATCAATAATTGGAATTTCTAACACTCAAATCTTGTGCATATGAGCATATCGACAATAATTGTGCATCTCCTATCTTTCTGGCAGTTATGTCTATCTACAATAATTGCAATTCTGAGTATTATTTCATCTTGGTTTGTCCTGCACAACAAGCAGAGCAGATGCAGACTATGGAGCAGCCAGGGTCATGTTGAGGCCTGCTTGCCCTGGATCTGGTGTAATTGCAGGTGGAGCTGTGAGGGTCGTGCTGGAGATGGCTGGGGTTGAAAATGCTCTGGGGAAACAGCTGAGGAGCAAGAACCCCCTCAACAATGCAAGAGCTACCATCAAGGCGACCCAAATGATGAGGCAGTTCAAGGATGTTGCTGCAGAGCGCGGGCTTCCAATGGAGCAGCTATGGAAATAATCAAATAAATCAACCTTAAATTCCCTCCAATATTTTTCTTTCTCCATTTCTTGAGTTCATTTTCAGTTGTATCTGTCAGTGGGGATAATCCTACATTTAAGTCCTCTCCCCACCCTAAATGCATTATGTGTCTCCACATATACATGGCAAAGCTTTAGATGAATTGATCTGCGAATACCTTTAGCTTCACTAGTAATAGTGCATGTGCAAGACACGTTCCGCACGTATAAATGCGAGTTTATTATGTTTTCCCACTATGCATATTAAACAGACCATATAAATGTGAAGTTTAATATGCCACATATCTCTCTGTTTACAATTTGTCGTATAAACGGAAAACAATCAATGATACCAAAAATACAATTTGTTATAGTTTGATAAATGTTTGGCATAATATGAAGTGTATAATTGCGAGAGAGAGAGAGAGAGAGAGAGAGAGAGAGAGAGAGAGAGAGAGAGAGAGTTTTTTTATGTAAGTTATAGCTTCCTTGGTCACCTGGTTATGATGTGCATATGTGGCTTGATGACATTGCTTGCCGATAAGAAAACCCTGAAAAACACCAAATAGAATGGGAGAAAAAGCAAAAAGAATTACTCGCAGAAAGTATCGGCAAGCACTACCACTATAATAAAAAAGCATTATATTCTTTTTATAATGATGCATTTAGCATAATTAGTTACTACTCTTGTCTAGGTAGCACACAAATTAAACTGAGTCATGTCGCACCAAACCTGTCAGATCAGTTATTTTTCATAATCTATACCACAAGATTTCAGCATTATCTTGCTGCTATCGTTTTTAATTTTGGTGCTACATCTACGCCTATTGTAAAGAAAAATAATGAACTGACTTAAAAGGAAACCAACCTACACTAAATCTGACACAAAGGAGCCATGAAATGTTGTGTCAAAAAATATAATATGAATATTTGTTGGAATTATTTTCTGGAAAGATAGTGCTCTATAGCTCTATCTGCCCTAAAAGACTACATTTTTTTCTTGAACCTTTATGTTCATAAACAATGTTTTAGCTAATCTTTATTAAGGCAAATTATTATAGTTTCAGCATAATTTCAGCAGCAACGTCTTGGATAGGAAATTGTATTGCATGTATCTATACTGGGCTTCAAAATGCAGGATAAAAATAGGATGGGATCTACATATTTTATAAATAGATTCTCACTGTTTATCATGGGATTACATGGAGTCGTACCAATTTTTAATTCAGATGTTAGGGCTCTCGGTTGTCAACGTAAGCAATATTATTCTTCCCTCACAATAATATCTCCAGAAGCTTCTGAAACCTGAAAAAGACATATTGGTTTGCATAAACAACCACTGAGAAAAGGAAATGCTTTGCAGAGCTAGTACCAAGAAAAATAAAATTAAAAGTTGCCATCAGTAACTTAAGAAACAAGAGCTTTATTTGATAAAAGGCAGATACATCCAGCACCAACCGTCTATCAAAGCCAAGATCTGTAGCAGCATTTTGTAATAATGAAAATTTTACATATACACAAATTGTGGTTCCATGTTGTTTCTAATAAAAAGTATTCAGATCAGCTTAAACATATATGCCTATTGAGATGCAGTTAACAACAGAATTCACAATTATTTCAGTAGCATTGATATGGAGGATTATAGGACACTCCGAGGAAATTAACAAAGTACGTCGCAGGAAGAAGTTCTGTACAATGAGCATATTTGTATCTCAAGAAGCTTCCTAATAAGCAAAATTCAAGGGAACTCAATGGTGTTCCTGACCTGGAAACTCAATCATGTGTCAAATTGATAGGAGAAACAATGCAGGTCCAAACTGAATGAAACTTGCTATACAAATTGATCTATGTAGGCAGGGGAAATACTACATCCAACACTCTTGCATGAATATGTCAGTCATGCAAGTTCACATACAAAGAATCATGAAAGTTCTACCAGTTTTTAATATGCTTGGTGAGCCCTTGGGTTACTAAGGGAGACAATGCTAGCGGTTCAGCCGAACGAAAGGAGGTTCTTTGAGCCCTTAGGTCAGGGTCAGATCGAGCAGGACTAACCAGTTAAGTTGTACGAAGTGTCAACAACCAAATTTGGTAATTTCAGTATCAGAGATGGAGATAAAGTCGAAGCGGAATCCAAGATGGAGATCGTTCCGCAAACAGAGGAAGGATCGGCTAAAGTCCGAATTGGCTGTGACCGGGATCGGCAGAGTCTGAATTGGACAAGGTTAGCTGATCGAGCCGAGTCCGACAATATGGTGCGGTACACGTTGTTCTTTTTGAGTTAATGTGCTTCATGAGGATTGCCATGCACGGATTGAGTCGTGAGAAGGCAATTGTATCTATTAATTAGGATATTTCATGTAATTTCCTTAGAGATATGTTTGGGCAAAAGTCTGCCGCAAAGACTTATGGTATCTAATAGTTTGTTAGAGATAAGAGTCGTTTCCGACACGGACATATTTTGTAATCTCGGGTATAAATAGACCCCGAGCCTCATGTAATACAACAACACACGTTCAATACAATCTCGGCGCATTGCCACCCCTTTACTTTCGTTTTGTTTCGACAAGTTCTTGCTTTCGGGTTGAGCTGCATCGGTTTCGATCTTCAACTAGAGGTAAAACTTGTTATGGAGGCTTGCGTTATCGGGATTAGTGCTTCCATATTTATGATACTCTAATCTTGTTCATGTAATTCGTCGAGTTATCATATATTCTATATAATCTTTGGCAATATTGTTATCTAACCTCTAATCGGCTAACATCTGTTACTTGAAGGCAGCCGATCAGGTTAAATACTGACGTTGGCTTAGATTATATAGGATATCCACCACTCTATGAAACATCCAGCGGCTTGATTATCTAGATGTTGTCCTTCTTTTCATACTTATAGCTGCATCAGTTGAGTTTGACCTTATAAGTCGTGATTAGAATCACGATCTCTAGCCTGCTTTCTGGTTGCCGATTAGGGTAGTATCGGGGTTTCAGCCAATCTTACCTGATTTAGCTTTATGTTCCATATGCTTAACTGATATGCTAGATCTGCCCTTTATGTTAAGATCTTGTTACAACAAAGTATATTAGGCTTCTGTTTGATATATTTTACTTGCTTTAATATCTTAATATAGATTAGTATCGGAGTATTAGCCCATACATGCTAGATCTATCTGATCGGCTATGCTATGAACATATATAATCTCATTGTTAATATATATTTCGATCTAAGTGATTTATACTGTCTCGGCATGGCGACCGATCTATCCCAATCACTTGATTTAAGTATATATCGACATAAGGATTATATATTGTTAATATCTACAGCCGATTGAGTAGATTTAGTTCTTTCTTACTAATTCATAATTGCCGATCGATTCACATATGACATTGGCTCGGTTTAGAGATAAATGATATGACATCTGCAACTAGCCGATTGGCTATCATTTTTGGATTTAACCGTGGTTTCTTTGTCTTTATTTCTTATTGATTGCAGGATCAAATTAACTGGCACGCTCACGAACCTAAAGGCAAGATTTCGGACCTGCACTGGAGTTAAGCAGATCTCCCAGGCCTCGTGTTTTTCGCATCAACGCGAAGCATCAAAACCCCAGGGTCGAATCCAATGGTACCAGTCAGTTCAGTTGTTTGGAGCAAAAGAATGGAAAGGTCGATACCAGTCAGTTCAGTTATGCTGGTTTGGTCAGTCAATTAGTCAATTTGTAATAGAAAGGAACAGTGCAGTGTGCAGATCAGTTAGACCGGCACACCCAACATTCTTTCTAGCCATCCCAGAATCTCGAGACGATATTCCTGTAAGGGGGTAGATTTGTAACGCCCCGATTTTCGTTCGGGATTAAAAATCAATTAAAAATGCATTTTTTAGAAATTAAATAAAAGTTAAAGCAATTTTCTAGAATTTTCCTTTAAAACTCATGGGTCGGAAATATTTTGTAATATTCTATGTGCCCTATTATACTCTTTGGAATTTCACGTGAATTCTCGGAGCTCAAGAGATAATTTTAATGTCACAAACTTCAATTAATCAATTAAAGTAAATGGAAAACCAATTAAAATTTCCCCTTCTTCCTTTGTGCCCCTTTCGGCCCAAAGCTCTCCCTCTCTCCTCGGCCTGTTTCCCTCTCCCTCCTTTCCCTCTTTCCTCTTGGGTCGGCCCCATTTTTCCCTCGGCCCGCTTGGCCCTCTTCCCCAAGTCTATGTTGACTCCCCTCTCTCTCTCCCCGAGCCGACGACAGGTGGGGCCCACCTGTCGGGGTCATCTCCATCCTCCAGCCGAAGCAACCGCGGCCACGCCGCCCACTCCCTCTGCCGATCCCGTGCTGCCCGCGCGTCCCCTAGCCCCCAACCGACGTGGACCCATGTCCACGCCAACCCTCAACCCACTCCCCCCTTCCACTAAGCCCCAAAAACTGCCGCTGAACCGCCGCCACCCCCACAACGATGCCGGCCATGTCGCCGCCGCCCACGTCGATGTCGGTTGCCGCCCCTCTCGGCCCCGATCCCGCCGCTTCGAGCCCATATAAACGATCCCCAGAGCTCCCTCTCCCCTTGTCCCCATTTTCCTGAGCTCCCCGCACCCTCTCCTGAGCTCCCCACGCCGATCCCCATCGCCGCCGCACGCCGGCGCACTCCAGCTGCACGCCACCGCCGATTTAGCCACCACCATGCCAATCCGCCGCCATCCCCGGCTTCGCCACCGCAAAGGCAAGCCTGGCCGCCGTCCCTTTTCTCCTCGTCATCACCGTAACTCGGCATCTTTGCATCCCACCGTAACTCGGCCACCACTTCTCATCGCCGAAAACCCACCGAACATCGGTGTTCCCGCGCCTCTGCCGCTCGTCCGCTCCTTCCGGAGCGCCGCCATCGCCGGAGCATCGCCAACTCCCTCCGCCGAGCTTCGCCGGCTGCCGCCCAACCGCTCGCCTCCGTGCCTTCTTGGCCGCCGCCCCTCGGTGAGCATCCTCTCCCTCTCCCTCTATCTCCCCTTCGTCGGCTGCTCTGTGTCGCGCCTCCATCGCCGGTGGCCGTCCTGGCGGGCTGTCGCCGCCGCTTCCGCCGAGCGCCGCTCCCGCGCCGACACAGGCTGGCCGCCTCCCCTTGGCCCCCGCCGTGGTCGATCTGGGCCGTTGGATCGGTCTCGTCCTCCATCTACGCCGTCCTTGTGGCGTTCCCCCTCGGCCACGCGTCGGTGCCCTCGTGGCGCCACGTCAGCACCACCTCACCCCGCTGTGCCGCCATGGCCGC